TATTTGTTTTCACGAGAAGCCACTTTGAAGATATCAATATGTAATACAACAAGCATTGTTAATTTCCTACCACTTTGTAACCCTGAATTGTCTGTACTGTACTTTTGCTATTTTGTAAAAGGTTGTCTGTTTGTTAATGTTTTCCTTCTTTTATTTTTAAAATAAAAAAAAGAAAAATAATGGGAATTACACAGTTTTGAGTTTCAACTTTCACCTTGTATTTTTCTTTCCTCTTTTACTTTGATTCCCTGAAATGTTTTTTTAATAGACTACTTGTATATAATAAAAGAATTACTTGTTTTAAAAGTTGAAAATGAAAACATTTTAAAAGTTGAAAATGAAAACATTTTTAAGAATTGTTGTTTACAGGAGGCTTTTGTTCTTTTTCTCCATCCCCAAGGTGTATTATCCGAATTTGGGGTGGATGTGCATTGACGCCACCGACCCTGAGAAGGGGAACTGGCTTCGATATGTGAACTGGGCTTGCTCGGGAGAGGAGCAGAACTTATTTCCCCTGGAAATCAACAGAGCCATTTACTATAAAACTTTAAAGGTAACAGTGTTGGAATTAGTCTACTGCTATTTGCTCTGCATGCGTCTTCTCAATGTAGTCTTTAGTTGAATAACTACTTTTCAGACCTTGAAAGGATTATAGTTGAAGTGCTTGATCCACACACTCAATGTTCTGTGTTAAATATATGCTTGCTACTGCTTTGCGTGCGTCAGGGAACTAAAGTACGAAGATCATCTTGACTAATTACATGCTGCATCTTTCTAGATACCACTGATTAAGCGTGTGGCAGCTGCTTCCCTCCTCCAAAGATGCAGATGCGTTGGGAACTGTCTGACTGGCAGATTTACCCCCTCTAAGAAACTGTCAATAGCTATGGCGGTGCTGTGCTAACTGGAAACATATTCACAGTCTTGCTTTTCCTTTCCTTCACTTTTATTCAGAATAGAAGCTAAAAGAACATGTTTCTTTCTTCCGCCAAATTTTTATTTGGAGACACTAATTGCTGAGATGCAAAGAAGAGGAAAGCCATGTTTAGGGGTGGTGGGGAGGCACCGAGCACGTTCAGGAAGTTACTATGAGGAAGTTCTGGGCGTTTCTGGGTTTCAGCGGTAGACAAGCCTGCATTTCACTCCTTGTCTCCACCAGTCCTGTTCTCCAGGAAGACAGATCTGCACAGTGTGTGGAAATTGCCATAGGTGGGATCTTGACGCTGTAAAGATTGGTGGTTACTTTTTCAGAATAGATACCATTGCTGGAATTGCGATAAAGCAAATGCATCTTTATTCCCTTACTTCCATTATCTAGGTCATAGACCGGGGGACACAAGTGCTGGGGAAAAAGTAATCTCTGTGGAGTTGAAAACTCCTGATGAGCAAGCATGGAAGGTAGTGGCCAGGTTTACAGTGTGCTGAGTCTCATTTAGCTAGCATATGGCTGTTTAGTTTTCCTCCGCGGCATTTTTTCCTGACATCGTCACCGGTTGTACTGTCACTTATACCCATGTTCTGCTTCCAGTCCCTGGACGAATTCGTTTTTTTCCTTTTTGTTTTTTTGGTGATACTTTTTCATTTATGACTCCTAAAACCTTGTTTCCTTTTTTTTTTTTTCTGCTGGATCACAATAGCGTGTCTTTCTAGTAGGTATTACTGTACAATCTTGTTACACTGGATTTGAAATTGGATTCAAAATGTGATTTAAGAATTTATTCTCTTTCCCAAAGCTAAGTGAGAGAGACATGTGGTTGGTTTAGCAAGATAGAATCCTGGTAGAGATGAAACACCAGCCAGAGGATGAATAGGAGACAGTTAAGGTAGTTAACGAGCAATGGCCCCAGGAGATACAAGGCACTGCTTCAAGTTAAATGCGTGCTCCTCTCTGACGGCGGATTTGCAGGAACTTAGAGAAACTGGGTAGAGTGGTGGTTGGGAAAGTGAACTTTGAGGCCACATGTGTTGGTTAAATCCTGCTCACTTCATGATGCACAGTGGGTGGGGGTGACTTCTCTAGCTCTGTGACCTTACCAAGTCCTTTCCATGTGCTTCATAAGATACAGGTCTGTTTAGTATCAACCTCACGGAGTTGTTGGGAGGAGCACACAGGTGTGCGGGGCCAGAAAAACCGAAGCAGCTGCTAAGTGCTGATAAATGACAGCTGTCCCTTTTGGTATAGGGAGGAGTAGGCACATAGGAGTAGACTGCTTGGCAACTGTTGGCTTTTAGATGTATGGCATGTAAAGTTCCTCCATCTCTCTCAGTTTTCTCATCTACAAAGATAGAGGAAGTGGTACAGGTTGAGTGTCCCTTATCTGAAATGCCTGGCACCTGACGTGTTTCAGATTGTAGATTTCAGTATATCTGCATATACACGACAAGATATCTTGAGGATGGGACCAAAATCTCAACATGAAGTTTACTTACATTTCATATACACCTTGTCCATGTGGACAGAAGGCAATTTTAAGCAGTATTTTTAGTGTCCCTGACTTTTGAGTGTTAGCTGTCACATGAGGTCCCACGTGGCATTTCCAGTGTGTAGCATCATGTCAGCGCTCAAAAAGTTTCACATTTTGTAGCATTGCAGGTTTTGATGTTTGTTTTACAGATACTGAGTTTGTAAAACTAATTCATATAGTTGTTGACGTGAAACAAGCCAACATGCAGTAGCTTAGTTGAAAGTATGAGATGCCTGTGCTATTATTTTTACCTGTCTTTGTCCCAAACAGCACAGTTCTGATCTTTGCAGGCCTCCCCCAGTCCTGACCTTTGATATTTGCTTAAATATGCATGAGACCTTTTAGGTTCCTTACTGGTGAACACCTAACTGTATTCTTTTGGATTAAGCGTTCTGTGGGGTGGATTTTGTAAATGATTATATGTGATGTTCTTGAGGCCCTGTAGTGCTGTCTCAACTGATTCTACCCAGGTAATGGGGACATTTTAACATTAGATTTGTTTGCACTATGATTCAGAAGTATTTTAAATTCCCAAAAGTTAACTGTTATGCCTGCCTATCCATTCCTTCATCTGTTCATTAGTTTGACAAATACTTACTGAGTGTACCAGTATGTAAACGGGACAGACAAGGTCTCCAGACTCATGGAACTTACACTTTTTTGAGAAGGAGGTATATAACAAGCAAATAAATAGGTTAACAAAATTATCCCAGAGAGCAGTTAAGTGCGTTGAAGACAGTGCAATGCTATAGAGAATGCTTAGGTAGGAGGAGGGCTGCTTTTGCTCTAGGGAGGACAGGGAAGGCTTTTCTGAGAAAAGACATTTGATTTCCACTCCTGGGAAGGAAGAAGCCAGCCATGCGAAGATCTGGGGGGAAGACCAGTGCAGGAGGAGGGACCATTAAAAGTAAGAGCCTTGGAGTTGAACTGCCCTGGTAAAATGTGGGTTTATAGGTACGTACTGATATATAGAGAAGACAGTGTGCTTGGTTTTTTAGTGCTTCTCTGAACTCAAAGGAAATGTTGGAAGGGTTTTAAATCTTGTTTTTATTTTTTCTTTGACATTAAAATACAGCACAGGGCTGGGGATTTAGCTCAGCGGCACAGCGCCTGCCTGGCAAGCGCAAGGTTGTGAGTTCGATTCCCGGTACCGGAGAAAAACCAAAGAAAAAACAAAAACAAAAACAAAATACAGCACAGTCACACACTACTATAGGTAGTGTCCTATAGTATACTACTATAGGTGGTGGTCCTATCAGGTCATATCGACCAGTGACCTTTGTAGCCAGTTTAGTTCTAGTGAGTATACTCTGAGATATTTGTACAATGACAGAATTGCCTAATGACACATTTCTCAGGATGTATCTCATCCTTAAGAAACTCATGATTATGTGAAAAAAGTTGTTTGGTCTTGACTTTATTTTTAAAAAGGTGGATTTGTCCTTCTTTTGTTTAACAATATGACTATTCTTTTCTTCCAAAATTCGGCACAGAAAAAAATCTTGAAAATGTTAAGATGTGCAAAAAAAAAAAAGAAAAAATCAATGCAGGAGGGAAGGAAGAAATCCATAATTTAAGAAAATAATATTTTCCTTTCAATAAGGAAAGCTTATCTGTATAGTTGTTTAAAGTAAATTTGGAAAACATACAGTGCCGTAGTGAAATAATATCTCAGTTCTTAACAATCTTGAAAGCTGTTCAGTAGGGAACAAATCAGACAATCTAGCACTTTGCCAACCCATTAGGCTTTAAAAATTTTTAGATTAGTGGTACAGATGGATTCTGGGATATTTCTGTAGTGTTGTTTGCAGCAACAAAAGGAGTAAGTTAGGGCACAAGTGCCTTCCTCTGGCAGAGTCTGTGCCAGTGGTGAACTCACCAAGTCACTGGTGCGGTGCCCGGCTGGTGCCCGCAGTGGAGAAAACACGTAAGCGTGCTCTTATTCTTGGAAGTTTCCAGAAGATGTCTGGTGGTTACTTCCAGCCAGCGTGCTGGTTGTGCTGCTTGGGTAAGGAATATGTTAAGAATACATTTGTTTTTATTCCTTCCTGTATTCTTACTTTGGTTTATTTTATTTTTATTTTGAGACAGGACCTCACTTAGTTGCCCATCCTTGGCTCAAATGTGTGGTCCTCCTGTCTGTCTCCCAGATGCTGGGATTACAGATAGGCACCAGCATGCTTGGCTTGCTTGCTTGGTTGTGTATTTATTTACTTATCTTAAAACCTTACATATAGAGCCCTAATTTAGACTAGTTTTCTGAAATATTTTTTGGTACCATGATTTCATAAATAACAAAAAGAAAGGAACTGTTTGGCGTTTAAATAATCTAGAAGTAGTTCGCTTTTGAAGAGTATTCAAAGCAGTTTAGGTCATCAGAGTGCCAAAAGGCATTTACAATAGCTGTTTTGACTCATTAATACTTACTTCGTGGGAGAGTCCACAGCCTTCACACTAACCTACAATCCTAGCCCTTTTTATTTTATCATTTTTATTTTGAGACAGGTTCTCACTACAGTAAGTTGCTAAGTTACCCAGGTTGGGCTTGAACTTGCGATCCTCCTGCCTCAGCCTCTCATATTGTTGGGATTGCAAGAGTCTGCCATCATGCCCAACTAAAATTTATTTATTAAAGAAGGTATTTTGGTATAGGTTTAACTGATTCAAGAAAGGGAATAATACATTGGTTCAAAGATAATTAAATGACATTTGAGCCATTCTTAGAGAAACCATGAACTTTAATTTTAAAGTTCTTTAAAGAATTTAGCCTGTTTCAAAATTTGTACTATATTAACAGAGTTCTGCAGAGAACGATGCAGTAATGTTTACTTTTACCAGCTTTATCTAAGAAGGTATGTGGAAGTGAGGAAAGATTTTTGTTTCTAAACTTCTCTTAGATGGTAATTTCTCTCCTGTTCAAAAAAAGACAAAACCCAGGATCATTCTCTTATATAATCATAGTGCAGTGACCAAAATCAGGAAGCTAGCACTGACGCTTTTCCTTGCAGGGAAAGAATACTACCATAATTCAGTTGTATGTCTTATCAGTCTCCTTGGCTTGGACAATATTACCTTAGTCTTTGATAAC